GTGAATGCTTTTGTTTTGGCACAGTACATAGTTTCAGTATTGGAGTATCACAGGATTCATTATTTTAAGATTGAGATTAATATTTCTGTTTATGGTCAAATGAGTGAGTGAGTGTAAGTGTGAACCACCAGGTGGTATTCGTGTAGTTAGTTGACGGGGTGTATCAGGGAGATAAGATGTTTTCTAATGGTAGTTTTGAAGGTGATGAATGTGTCTGCAGTTCTAGAGTTCCCAGGTAGGGTATTCCAGATTTTAGGGCCTTTGACATACATTGAATTTTTGTAAAGGTTTAGTCGGACACGGGGAATGTCGTAGAGATGTTTGTGTCTGGTGTTATGCCTGTGGGTTCTGTCACAACTATCAAGAAAGCATTTTAGGTCAAGGTTGATATTAGAGTTTAAGGCCCTGTAGATGTAGATTGCACAGTAGTAAGTGTGGATGTACTGAACTGGGAGTAAGTTTAGGTCTATGAAGAGTGGGGGGGTGAGTTGCCAGGGATGGGATTTAGTGATTATTCTTACTGCAGCTTTTTGTTGGGTTATTATTGGCTTTAGGTGTGTTGCTGCAGTTGATCCCCAAGCACAAATAGCATAGGTGAGGTATGGATAAATAAGTGAGTGGTATAGTGTGAGAAGGGCATTTTGCGGCACGTAGTATCGTATCTTGGAGAGGATCCCAACCGTTTTGGATACTTTTTTGGTTATATGCTGGATATGGGTGCTGAAATTCAGGTTGTTGTCAAGGTATAAGCCTAGGAATTTGCCCCCATTATTTCTGGTAATTAGAGTGTTGTCAATCTTAATGTTAATTTGTGCATCTCCTGCTCTGCTACCAAACATAATATAGTAGGTTTTGTCAGTGTTAAGCATAAGTTTATTGGCTGTTATCCAAGTCGATATTTTAATCAGCTCCTCATTCACAATGGTGTTGAGGGTGGCAAGATTAGGGTGAGAGATGACATAAGTCGTGTCATCAGCAAAGAGAATGGGTTTCAGGTGTTGGGATATGTTTGGAAGGTCATTGATGTATATGAGGAAGAGCAGGGGACCAAGGACACTTCCCTGCGGAACTCCAGTATCAAGTGGCCATGTTGCTGATGCTGTGTCTTTAATGGTGACGTACTGATACCTATTAGTAATGTAAGATTTGAAATAAGCAAGCGCATGGCCTCTTATACATAAGAACATAAGAACATAAGAAAGGAGGAACACTGCAGCAGGCCTGTTGGCCCATACTAGGCAGGTCCTTTACAATTCATCCCACTAACAAACATTTGACCAACCCAATTTTCAATGCCACCCAAGAAACAAGCTCCAATGTGCAAGTCCCTCTCAAATCCAACCCCTCCCACTCATGTACTTATCCAACCTAAATTTGAAACTACCCAAAGTCCTAGCCTCAATAACCCAACTAGGTAGACTGTTCCACTCATCAACTACCCTATTTCCAAACCAATACTTTCCTATGTCCTTTCTAAATCTAAACTTATCTAATTTAAATCCATTACTGCGGGTTCTCTCTTGGAGAGATATCCTCAAGACCTTGTTAATATCCCCTTTATTAATACCTATCTTCCACTTATACACTTCGATCAGGTCTCCCCTCATTCTTCGTCTAACAAGTGAATGTAACTTAAGAGTCTTCAATCTTTCTTCATAAGGAAGATTTCTAATACTATGTATTAATTTAGTCATCCTACGCTGAATGTTTTCTAACGAATTTATGTCCATTCTGTAATATGGAGACAAGAATTGAGCTGCATAATCTAGGTGAGGCCTTCCTAATGATGTATAAAGCTGCAGTATGACCTCTGGACTTTTGTTGCTTACACTTCTTGATATAAATCCCAGTAATCTATTTGCCTTATTACGTACGCTTAGGCATTGCTGTCTTGGTTTAAGGTTGCTGCTAACCATAACCCCCAAGTCCTTTTTGCAATCTGTATGGCTAAGTTCTACATTATTTAAATTATAAGTGCTAGGGTTATGGACACTCCCGAGCTTCAGAACCTTGCATTTATCTACATTGTACTGCATCTGCCACTTTTCTGACCAAGAGTAGAGTTTGTCTAAATCCTCCTGAAGTTCCCTAACATCTACGTTTGAATCAATTATCCTACCTATCTTCGTGTCATTGGCGAATTTGCTCATATCACTAGTAATTCCTTCATCAAGATCATTGATATATATTATAAACAACAACGGGCCCAAGACTGATCCCTGTGGAACGCCACTTGTTACTGATCCCCACTTGGATTTAACCCCATTTATGGACACTCTCTGCTTCCTGTCTGTGAGCCATGATTCGATCCACGAGAGCACCCTCCCATGTTTGTGGAGTAGGATGTCGTGGTCTACTGTGTCAAAAGCTTTTCTTAGGTCAATAAAAATTCCTAGTGGATATTCCTTATTTTCCAATGCTGTGTAAAGCAGATCTAGCATTTTTATGATTGCATCATTAGTGCTTTTATTTTTCCTGAATCCAAATTGGCAGGGGTTGAGTATGTTTTGAGCCGTTATAAATGAATACAGTCTCCTGTGCACGAGTTTCTCAAAGATTTTGGATAGCAATGGTAAGTTAGATATTGGCCTATAGTTGTTTAAGTCTGTAGGGTCACCACCTTTATGTATTGGTGTAACCCTTGCCATCTTGAGTAGTTTCGGGAAGGTGCTAGTCTCTAGTGACTTGTTAAAAAGTAATGAAATAGCATGCGAAAGGACATGGGCCGCTCGCTTGTACAGTAATGGTGGGACATGAGACAGATTCCCCGAGTTATTTTTAAGTGACTTTATAATCTCAGTGACTTCCGTGGGCTCAGTTGGTGCAAGATAGAAGGAATTAGGGAAATTCCCATCTAGGTAGTCCCCGGCATGGGCATTGGTATGTGGGATTTTACTGGCGAGATTAGATCCTATGGTTGAGAAGAAGTCGTTTATCTTGTTAGCTGTGTCAGTGGGATGTAGTGGTGTTTCATTAGGTTTAGTTAGGACAATATTCTTGGTTTTTCTCAGTTTGTGGGTCCCTAGAATCTGAGAGAGTGTTTTCCAGGTCTTTTTTATATCTCCTCTAGTGTCTGTGAATCTGCTGGAGTAGTATAGTTGTTTGGCTTTCTTTATTACTTTGGTGAGAGCTGATGAATAGTGTTTAAGAATATCTTTGTGTATTAAGCCCTGTCTATATTGCTTTGGCATGTTGCACTTAACTGAATTCATTTGTACTACTCTATATCATGTTCAAATTAATAAATAAATAACAACAGACACAGCCCCACTCCACGAAGGGGGCAGTAAAGCAATAGCTAAGAACTACAGACCAACAGCACTAACATCCCATATAATAAAAATCTTTCATAGGGTTCTAAGAAGCAAGACTGCCACTCATCTTGATACCCATCAATTACACAACCCAGGGCAACATGGGTTTAGAGCAGGTCGCTCCTGCCTGTTCCAACTACTGGACCACTATGACAAAGTCCTGGATGCTCTAGAAGACAAACAAAACATAGATGTAGTATACACAGACTTTGCAAAAGCCTTCGACAGGTGTGACCATGGTGTAATAGCACACAAAATGTATGATAAAGGAATAACAGGAAAAGTTGGTAGATGGATCTATGATTTCCTAACAAATGGAACACAAAGAGCAGCAGTAAACAGAGTAAAGTCTGAAACAGCTACTCTGTAAAGCTCTGTTCTACAAGGCACAGTACTCGCCCCCCATCCTGTTCCTCATCCTCATATCTGACATAGACAGGGATGTAAGTCACAACACCGTGTCTTCCTTTGCAGATGACACCCGAATTTGCTTGACAGTGTCCTCCATTGAAGACACTGTAAAACTCCAGGCGGCATCTACCAAATCTCTAAATGGGCAGCAGAAAACATTATGAAGTTCGATGAAGAGACATTTCAACTACTCAGACATAGAAAATTGAGGAAATTAAAACTGTATCAGGTATACAGCAAATTCTAACCACACAATAGAGCAAAAAACTAATGTGAAGGACCTGGAAGTGATAATGTCAGAGGATCTCACTTTCAAAAACCACAACAATGTATCTACCTCATCTGCTAGAAAAATGATAGGATGGATAATGAGAACCTTCAAAACTAGGGACACCAATCCATGATGATTCTGGTTGCCTGGTGGCTAATGCTCTCGCTTCACACGGCGAGGGCCTGGGTTCAATTCCCAGCCAGAGTAGAAACAATGGGCGTGTTTCTTTCCACCTGTTGTCTATGTTCCCCATCAGTAAAATGGGTACCTGGGTGTTAGTCGACTGGTGTGGGTCGCATCCTGGGACACTGACCTAATTTGCCCGACATGCACAGCATAACAAGGGCTTTCTATATAGTAGTATGTCATTGTTGTCAGCTAGGACTGTATACCATGTACATGTACTTGTAGTAAATAAAGATATTATTATTATTATTATTAAATTGCTTGTTCTCTCTAGGCTGGAATACTGCTGTACACTAACTGGCCCCCTTCAAGGCAGGCAAAATTGCTGACCTGGAGAATGTACAGAGAACTTTCATGGCATACTTAAGTATGGTAAAGCACCTAAATTACTAGCAATGGTTGAAGTCCCTTGATTTGTATTCTCTGGAATGCAGGCAAGAGAGATACATGATAATATACACTTCGAAAATCCTAGAGGGATAATTACCAAACTTGCACATGAAAATCACTCCCTACGAAAGCAAGACTTGGCAGGAGATGCAACATTCCCCCAGTGAAAAGCAGGGGTGCCACAAGTACACTAAGAGACAACACAGTAAGTGTCAGGGGCCCAAGACTGTTCAGCTGCCTCCCAGCATACATAAGAGGGATTACCAGTAGACCCCTGGCTGTCTTCAAGAAGGTGCTGGACAGACACCTACTAGTTCTTACATTGGTTGATCAGACCCTGATCCACCACGAGACATGGTCTCAGACAGGGCCTCGTATACTCAAAGCATACCTCATAGAAGATAGAACTAAAGTTGCTTCTTTCTTACCTTGCATCATGATCTTCTTCAAAACCCAACAACACAAACTCTTTAAGCTCATCTACATTGCAGATGCGACACAGTGGAGGACAAGGGTCACCACAGAACCCAACACATGGGTGGCTACACTGTAGCTTCTTAGGACAAGGTTTATCACATGGCTCTCTTGAACACATTTCACCACAAAGCTTCTCACACATCAGGTGGCTGCATTTCCAATTGCAAAACATCTGGAAAAATATTTTAAATATTAGAAATATGGATGGAAAGAAAGTGTATAACATTGTGGCCCTGCTCTGAAACAATTTAAATTTAAAGTGAAATCTTGATATAACAGACTAACAGGGATGGAGGGTGTCTGATACTGCTGGCTATCCTTTGTTTACAAATTACTTTGATGGCTGGTTAGGGAGATGCTGCTGAACACTGTAACTTGTCAAACAGTGCAGAGAGGGTGTGAGGAAGGAAAAGCGAGAATGGAGGATAGGGTGAGTGGTGGGTGGACATTAGAGAGAGTGGATATGAGAGGGGTGTGAGGGTGGGTGGGTGTACTCATCTAATTGTACTCACCTAATTGTGGTTGCAGGGGTCGAGACTCAGCTCCTAGCCCCACCTCTTCACTGATCACTACTAGGTCCTCTCTTTCCCTGCTCCATGAGCTTTATCATACCTCGTCTTAAAGCTAAGTATGGTTCCTGCCTCCACTACATCACTTGCTAGACTATTCCACTTCCTGACAACTCAATGACTGAAGAAATACTTCCTAACATCCCTTTGACTCATCTGAGTCTTCAACTTCCAATTGTGATCCCTTGTTTGTGTGTCCACTCTCTGAAACATCCTGTCTCTGTCCACCTTATCTATTCCACGCAGCATTTTGTATGTCGTTATCATGTCTCCCCTAACCCTACTGTTCTCCAGCGTCATCAGGTCAATTTCTCTTAGCCTTACTTCATAGGACATTCCCCTTAGCTCTGGAACTAGCCTTGCTGCAAACCTTTGCACCTTCTCTAATTTCTTGAAGTGCTTGGTCAGGTGTGGGTTCCAAGCTGGTGCTGCATACTCCAGAATGGGCCTGATGTACATGGTGTACAGTGTCTTGAACGATTCCTTACCAAGGTATCGGAACACTATTCTCAGGTTTGCCAGGCACCCATATGCTGCAGCAGTTATCTGGTTGATGTGTGCTTCCGGAAACATGCTTGGTGTTATACTCACCCCAAGAGGGTAGGCGAGAGTGAGGGGTGCACATGAGAGAGAGTAGATGGGAGTGAGGGGTTGGTATGAGAGAGGGCATGTGGGAGTGAGGGGTAGGTTGGAAGGTGTGTGGGTATGTGTAAAGGTGGGTGGGTAAAGGGTTGGAATGTGAGGAGAGTGAGGATGGAGATAGTAGTCCTGGTATTGAAGAAACATGTACACATCTAGACATAAAAGACCCAGAAATACAAAATAGCACTACTACTGGAGATGAAAAAAGAGGTTGATGCTTCAGGGAATGTTGTTGATACATTACTAGTAATAATTGGTGGTGGTATTGATGCTGGTACATGTGCTGCAGATAGTGGTGGGGGTCAGGAAAAACTGCACCAGTAAGGACACTAGTCCATAAAAAAATCTTGGCAAATAGAAATTAAATCTGTACAGATTCTATCCCATGGGTATCTGTAAGCATGGAATATCTGGAAAACCAGGTGGGACATACAACTCTGACAATCCCAAAAAAATGCCACGACCTCATAGCCAAAGGTGTATACAATTCCTCTTGTAACTATTTCACCATGAAATGTGCTATTCATCAGTCCGTGAAAGACAATGGTACAACACATACTGTCAGACACACCATTTAAAGGGGATCATAATATACAGAAGACAGAAACCCTGAGAAACAAACCAAGGTAGCTACAACCAGTCAAGAGAAAGAAATTTTTTAGTGCCAGAAAGAAAAAATAACACTGGCAGGAAATGACAGAAATACTACACCGCCTCGGATCACTACTGGAGTGGAAGCAAAGTCAATGCCCTCCCCCCACTCCATAACAGAAATTGGTGCCAGCAAATAAAGCCCCCTTAAATATGACATCAATACGACAACATTTGTACAGTAGACCGTCACTTAGCATGGCAGTTACACTCCTGAAAATGCCATGTTAGGTAAAATCATGACAGATGAACTTTAGAACTTAAGGGAAAAATAGGATTACGTTCCTGGGAGCCCCCAAAAAGCCAAACAACTTTTTTTTTAGGCCTAAACATCTTACAAAAATAAAAGTGAATATGTAGTTGTAGTTCATTGTTGTGATGTATTATGTTGTTTTTACTGCTTAAAACTACAACTGTAACAGAAATAATAGTATTTCTTACCTTAAATTGTGGGTGCTGGTGGTTGCGGATGATTTTGAAGAGAGTGGAGAGTTATTCTGTGGCCCTACTGGGTAGAGGTGGATGGTAGAGGATCTGGTACTGAAGTCAATGGTTGTACTGGAGTGCCTAACTATAAGTCATTCAGTCAGTCAAGTCATTCAGTAAGTCAGTGAAGTCACTCAGTAAGTCAAGTCATTCAGTAAGTCAGTGAAGTCACTCAGTAAGTCATTAAGTCAGTCAAGTCACTCATTAAGTCAGTGAAGTCATTCAGTAAGTCAGTCAAGTCACTCAGTAAGTCAGTCAAGTCACTCAGTAAGTCAGTCAAGTCATCATCAGTAAGTCCAGTCAAGTCACTCAGTTAAGTCAGTAAGTCACTCAGTAAGTCATTCAGTCACGTCATTAAGTCAGTGAAATCACTCAGTAAGTCACTCAGTAAGTCAGTCAAGTCACTCAGTAAGTCAAGTCAGTCAGTAAGTCAGTCAAGTCACTCAGTAAGTCAGTCAAGTCACTCTTTCATGTCTAGGCGACTCAAGCCTAATGTGCCAAATTTGAAGGAATGAAAAATAAAACGTTGATCTACGTTTGGAGCACTACGCGTGCAAATGTAGATCTACGTTTGGACAGTTTAAGGGTTAAAATCACTAAGATTCTCTCTTCTCTTGACGCCATATAATAATCTCTTGGGCGCATTAAATATCGTATATTACGTTAATATAGAGATTTCCATTAATCTATCTATATTTTTTTCAAAATTATGTAATAAACATTCTACATAACATATAAACATGATACATACACCCACAGTATAAAAATTGACATAAATATGAGATTTGTTTACCTAGCGGTCTGTAGGAGTGTCGGGAGAATTACGTTTTCTCTACTCAAACACCAGTTACTTAACTGTAGAAAAATATTCCTTTTGTATGCCTTCACTCTATAGCTATTCACAACCCTTGTTGGTTTAGCACTTCTTTTTTATTATGACACTCTAAAAATGGTGTGTTGCATGAGAATGGTAGTGTTGCTGTTTATTTATTCTGTACTAACTTGTCATGGCATCATTCCTTCTAAAAATGATGTTACATGAGAATGGTCTTTATTCATTCTACTGTACCACTGTGGAAAGAACTTGTACACAATGTAAGGTGTTTGTATGAATGTGTATCAACCATAACCAGATGCGTTTGTTTACATAATACTCTGCGGCTCTGTCTTCTTACTTGTTCTCTCTCTTGTTTATTCATTTTTATCTTGTTTACTCACATTAAAACTACAAATATTTTAAGGTAAGTAATGAATGTACCGTATATGCATTTTATCGCTCTAGGGCGCTTTAAATGTTGTAGTTGGTGGAGTGGCCAGGCGGGCTACCCTACCTCCCACACTTGACTTTCTACAAATAAATACTTTTCACCTCTCACCCTACATTAAGGCCATTAAGATTACAAATATTTTAAGGTAAGTAATGACTGTACTGTATATGCATTTTAGCACTCTAGGGAACTTCAAGCATCATAGTACATACATGTATATTATGTGTGGGTGGGGTGGCCAGTAGGGCTACCATACCTACCACACCTAACTTTTTACAATAAATACTGCTCACCTTTTGCTCACCATTTAACATGAGTTTATTTGGAACGATACGGGTATAGCATGATTGAAGAATTGTGGCACAATTTAATGTAACACTTCATAAAATTAATTTAACGCGGTTCGCAGGAGGGGAAAAAATTTTGAGCGAGCAGTCACCCGCAGGATTGGAAGTTGGTTACACCATTTGAGTCAATGCCATCCCCCGCCACCCTCACACACCCACCCAGACTTCAGTTCAATTCATACATGTGTAGGACGATGATACTTGGGAAGCTCGCTGTGTTTATTTACATATGTATTTTCATTGCCATTTGTTAAATCTGCCTAGCAATCATGGCAACCAGTAAGCATACAAGTGTTCCTGCAAGTGACAAGAAAAGGTAGAAGCGTTCAAGTCTAGGAATTATGAAGAAAATCGAGATATTAGATAAGTTTAAGAGTGGCTCGTGTGTGGTGGATATAGTGAGGGCCTATGGCCTTAATGAAGCATCAGTTTGTACAATTAAAAAGAACGAGGCGAATATACGAGCTTGTGTAATGAATAACCCAAGATGTCATCTCTTGAAAAGAATGACACGTAGGTCCCAACAAGTAAATAAAACAGAAAATTGTTGCTCGAGTGGATCAAACAAAAGACAAAGAAAGGTGCACCACTTAATTTCATCTTAATTAGAGAAAAAGCCTTACAGTTGTTGAAAGCAGTGTATGATAAGGAAGGAAGGCCTGAAGAAGTGTGTGTGTTTAACACAGGCTGGTTCTACAACTTTAAGTTGCATAATAAGCTACATAAGATTAGGTTTTCTGGTGAAAGTGTAAGTAAGTAAGTAAGTAAGATTATTCAGGTATACACAAAAACAGTTACATATAATTATCATACATAGCAGCATATGTGTAGAGAACCTAGAATAACCCAAAAAAGTCAGACAGAGTGACTTATTTCCATTGGGGTCTTTTACCTTATTATTATAATATAAATATAATATAAAGTGCTTCAGTTGATCATTCAGCAGCAAGTAATTTCCCTGCTGAATTGCAGGAAATTATTTCTGAGGGTGGCTACGAGCCACTTTAAGTGTTTAATGCTGATGAGACAAATGTTTTTTGGAAGAAAATGCCAACATGATCTTAAATCAGTCAGCAAGAGAAAAGTGCATCAAGTTTCAAGACAGCAAAAGATCGCTTCACATTGCTCCTTTGTGGTAATGCATCAGGTGATTTCAAGTGTAAGACCATAGTTATTTACCACTCTAAGAATTCTCGTGCTTTGAAAGGT